TGGTGTATAAATATGCTTTTTTTAAGAAATTATATGTCGTGAGGGAATTGAAACAAAGGTGTTAATACATAAAATAATAATAGTAGTAATATGAAATGCAATTAAAGTGTTTGTGATTATAATCACTGTTAAATACCAAGTTTCAAGTGGCAAAACAAATAATGTCGTATACAGAATAGTTCATAGGATGTAAAGATGTTAGTAAGGGGTGTAAAATTAAAAGATAAATAGGTGAATATAAAACGTTACATAACATGATGCGAAATGTGATGACAGAATTCAACATTGTAGAAAAAGGTTTGATCTTGATTGACAAGTGAGACAAGTGAAATAATAATACTGGGAACAGTCCAAATTGAGAATAATAGTAGTAACAATGTAACAACAGAAGACAAGGGCCAGGCAGCAGATCGTTTATTAAGGAAAATCAACACATATTTATAGATTTTAATGTACATTATTGTACATTGTAGCTCTCACCACAACAATAGTAATAATATTTTTAGTAAAAGGGGAAAGGCACAGATTAACGAAATAAACAAAATGAAAATAAGTAAATGTTCACCCCTCTACGATCAAGGGACTGTACATACTTCTTCTGCACAAAACCTCTCGCTTTAATTCATGAATAACCAGGGTCTTTTCTGTCTTCAGAAGTTTAGAATGTAGAAAACGCAGAAAGTTACCATGTATTCGATAGATGATGATCTTAAAATCCTGCTCCAGGTTGATAGAGTGATAGGAGTCGATCAAGTTATTTTAGAATAGAGCTTTACACGCCCATACTTTCTCCCTTGTAAAACAATGATGGGATGTGTTCTCGTTTCAGTGTAGAAAGTATTCTGTGACTACGGCCGATGTATATCAGTTCACAAGTGTCGGCAAACTGGTAGATGCACGTGGAGACAGCTAGACTCGAGACAGCTTATCCTCAACAGAGAGGGAGAACAACTTACGCCTAGTGAACGTTATTTGTAGTTTTGCCACAAAGAATGTCTGGTTTAGTGAGATAACTTTTGAGTATGTCTGAAGTCTGATCACCTTTAAATTCTAAATTCATGAAGATGGTTTACTTTGAAACTGAATTAGTCACCAGTTTGGACTGTTTATCTTTCATGATCTCGTCAATAAATCAGCTTGAGTAACCGTATTCCGCCAACATAGCTTTTAGGAAGGAGAGTTCCTTATCCTATAGCAGAGAGAATGAAAGAAGTTTCTTTTCCTGGAGATAGGCTTCCAACTATAAAAATTAGTTAGCTGTCCATTCCATGTACGTTTCAAGTGGATGTATCTTTTAAGAGATCCGCCATCACGTCCATTGAGGCATACATCGAGAATAGAAATGCTTGGTTCGTATTCCTTTTCAATGGTAAATTGCAATTATTCATTCATTCAAGTACATTAGTTAGACGGATTTTATCTAATCTGATTAGATTAAAACATTATTTTTAAAAATCTTGAACATAAAAACTGTTGAATTTTGTTTTAATAAGAATAAAAATTAGATTAGTCCACACCTGGATTAAGTTAATTAAACGTATGAAGATGTGTGTAATTTCTGTAGAAGTATACAAATAGGCAAAAAAGAAATGTTTGATTTATGTATAAATATCAGTTAAATGTATCAATTGTCTATCTGTAAGGTTTAATTAAACATCAACCTTGCTAATTAACTATTGTCAAGGACGGATTTGGTTTCCAGTAGACGAATTGTAACACTGAAGAAAAACTTTTTTATGGGGATATTGTTATAATTTAACCATTACGTCAAAATTCAGATAAAGTTTTAATGGATATTATTACTGATAAGAACCATAGCTAATTCGAACAAGGAAGTAAAACTCTCCTCAATAATGACTTATTATACTAAACATAACAGGATGAAAGTTCACTTACTCATTTCTGTTAGTACATACCCATAATGCTGCTCCGGATGAGGATGTCGAATTCAGCCAATATCGAGAAAGTAAGGCAGGCACTCATTATTCTGAAATCGCTATAAAGATCTACAACACTCAAAACAACGAAGAGGATCCAAATTTTTAGCCAGTACTCATCGTGATTCACAGACTTAGTGCACACGTGACCAAAAGTATTTCCAAAAGTTAACTGAGAACTTTCATCAATATTTGCTCACTGTCGATACTGAAAGTCAGATGACCAGTCAAATAGGCTAAGCAAGCGATAAGGAAATCCGGCTGAGAACCAACCAAACAGTCTATTACATAATAAAATTGCAGAAGGAACTGGAGAGGAATTTAACATACTCTTTGGATACCGCTGAGTGACATCATACTTCACACCATCGAGTGAAAACCGAATGGGAACTGATAGGGTGAGAGCTGATCCGAGTGCGACATGAAGGAGATTACAAGAAGATGAAATGTAAAGTTGTGGGCAGTCTTGGAGCTATCTGAAAGTGATTCGAAAAACCTAGCCCAATTGAGGATGTGCTTCTAAGAGTCAGTGTTCCAGTCAGAACTCAGGGAATTAATAATAATAATATACACCCATAATCACATCTGAGACTGACCACATGAGTACATTTGGACGGGTTCTTCTCCCTATAGATAACTTTAAAGGAGAAGTTGGAGGGTTTCATCATGAGTTGACATCATTTAGAGAACCATTGGAAAAACAACTAGGAGTACTGGACAACTGTTTCGTCCTAGTTTGGGACTCTTCACAGTATGCACGTACCGCCAAGGTTCGAATCCAGGACCTTCTGGTTACAAGGCGAGCTGGCTCGTAGATCACTAAGCCTCTGGCACCTGGCCCAATCCAATGGCCAACCCACGCATTCTAACTTCTGCCAATTCATGACATAGCGCAGCCACTTCGCAATGTCTTCTTCGATGAGTTACTGCCTCATCGTCAACCTGCTGCACCCTACTGGTCAGGGCTTCCCGCTAGAACCCCAGGTTAACTGCCTGAACATGGCCAGTCGCTAGTGAGCATAAGATTAATTTTCAATTATTGGTTTTGTAGGGATTTTGTTTGATTGGTCGCGCTATGCCATGAATTGTTAGAAGTTCGAATTCATGGTCTGGCGACTGGATCGGTTTCCAGTGGCGCAAGGGTCTACGAGCTGGATCGCCTTGTAACCAAGAGGTCGTGGGTTCAAACCCCGGTGGGCTCGTACTGCTGAAGATGAAACAGCTCTCCAGTACTCCTAGTTGGTTTTCCAATGGTTCTCTAACTGATGTCAGCTCCTGATGAAATCCTCCAACCAATCAAACACAGTCCCTATAAAACCAATACTTGAAAATTTAAAGGAAAAGGTTGTAGAAATAACGTGACCTGTATCGATCAGATGTTCACTTACTTTGCTTCTCGCAAAAAAGGTTTGTTCAACCACTCCTTCAGATCTCATGTTCTTAATCCTTTAATGTTAAAGTGTTATAATCCCTATTCATACTTTGATTCTATTTATTCTTCGTTTTATTCATTCAACTTATATATCCTTCCCTTATTATGTCGATTGGTATTATAATTATTTTCCCTTTGAACAATTTCCTGTATTATATCACTTGTCACCTTTATTGAATTCAACACGACTTTTTTGTATTTGATTAAGTTAATCTGAATTTTCCACTGACTGGTTATACTGAGCCGAAATGTTCGATCTCCATTGATGATTAGACGAGCAGCTTGGATTCACCGACAATGTCTAATGTTTGACATTATGTTATTTGGTTGATGGCGGCTATCATCAGTATCTAGGATGTACGTTTCTCCCGATATCGAACTTGTCGGATGGATGTACCTACTACACCTTCAGTGAGTGACGGTGTTTCCAATGTGTCTCAGTGCGTACAGCCAGTCAACAAATCCATAACAGGATGAAATGTGCATGTTGGATTTCAGCGCTAGTCATTATCAATCAGGTAAAGCGAATTTCTGTTGGAATAGTTTTAAATGCAACAGATCCTCGATATCTCGCATGAAGTAACACTAATCTTTCTTAAGTGAATACATTTCATTCTTTATATATTACACTTTAGGAACAATTCTCAGTTTAAAGAGGTCATATGTCATAACCAGTAAAGCAGGTCGAATATTTATACCACTATGTTCATAAATGAAATCTTTCGAGCTGATAGTTCATTCAGACTATTGTAATGTACCGCTTCGTGTATTTTACCTATTCTTCTTTACTGTTCACCCTTATTCTTTCCTGGATTGCTTAAAAAGGACTATGTCATACTTCGTAGAACTCTGAAGACTGTCAGTAGGACGAGTGGTATCCCATTGGGCCATATCGTTGACATTGTCACTGATAGGCACTTGATGTCATGCAACAGATTCGCTAGAGGAATTTTGTCAGACTCTGAGCACCCACTCTACCCGCAGCTCCAACCTTGTGTCTCCTCAGGTAAAACAAGAAGTCTTTTCAGAAGACTTTATGCACGTACGTCTAAGTATAAAAATTCCACTATACCATATTTGGCACGTACTTTATGTGATGAAAATAATGTCAGACATGAACTAACTAACCTTCTTAGCACCACTAAATAAACCATTTCCTTCACCCTTAAAGCATCATACTTTATTGTTATTGTATTTCTTATATTTATAATCCTCTCAATTTTTTCGTTTTGTTTATTTTTTTTTCATAAGTGTGGACATAATTTTAAGCTGTATTATAACTGTTAATTTTGTATTTCCCCTCACTATACTATATCAACAGAACATTAGACCCAATAATCTATAACATGCTAAAGTTTCCAAACTGAATCGACAATACCGTTTGAAACAAACTCACTGTTATTATATTTATTATTATTATTATATCTAATAATTATGTCGTAAATGTGGACAAATTCCTCCGATTAATTTTGTTTTAATTTTTAATTTTATATATATTTTGAGTAAATCAGATGCAATATTGTGACAAATGCTGAGAATTCCATTCTGTATTATAAGTACTGTTTTTGGAATGAAGTAAATTATTATTATTTATCCCATCACCTTACTTTTCTTCACAAATTTCTCTGTAGATTGTCAATATCAAGGAACCATGTAACATTCCAAAGTGTCAGAAAGAATCTTCACATCCTAAAACTACTGAAGACTGTCCACCAAGCACACAGTCTAACACTAGAGCTACTGTCCCACCACCTGTAGTAATATATCGAAGAAGATTTCAAAAGCTTGCTTCGAAAAGAATATCAAAGTTTTCAGGTCAACGAGTAAGTTGAAAATGTTTGTGTGTAACTAGAAAATATCTCACAATAAATTTAACTAATTTTTATTCCTCATCTTTAATAATTTCTTGAAATAAATGAAAGCTATTCGAGTTTTGAGCGACGTTTTGAGTAGAAGAGTCCATCAGATGTGTTGCAAAATTGCTCTCTGTTACCCAGTTATGTTTCACTTTGGGATACATCTAATAAAAGAATTTAAGTGCGATGATTCAGTGCTATTCAGCAGAGGTTTTTCTGGAATCTAGTACCACCGACGAAAACTAGGTAGGTATTCAAACCTATTTCGGAATTCATTAATACTGTATTACAACGACTATTAAAAGAACTGTGAACATGTAAAGTTAGAAATTAGGGATTACTGAATCTAAAGCAATAACTGCGTCGGTGTCACAGCGGTTAGGACGCTCGCCGACCATGCACATGGTCCGGGGTTCGATCCCTGGCCGACTCACTCCTTTATCTCGCTAAGCCAGAAATAAAGTTGGTAAAGAGGAAAGGTTGGGCATGAGGCTAGCAACCCAATCCTGTAAAAATCAACACTATTACAGAAACTTCAAGCCTGTAGCTAAAAGCCCTATGTTCCACTAAAGACGTAAAGGAATAAAAAACCAAAAGCAATAACTGAATGTTAGCAGAATCACATTATTATATGAAGAACATTGGTTCGATACCTCTCAGGGAAGGTTATGAGTATCAATGTTGTTATTGAATCTAAGCTATTTTGCCTAGAGTTTCCAGTCACAGCCTACGACTATTATTAAGACACCAGCTAGATAACCCACATAATTTATAGATTAGTAATAAAATAAACTGCACACTTACAAGTATATACCAAACTAATATTAAATTATGTTGACGAAATCCTTATTTCAAATTCGATCAGGAGCTGACATCAGTCAGATAGCCATTGAATACAAGGGATAGCTGTTTCGTCATTTCACGGAACTCATCAGAAGTAGGACCATGAGAACAAATAGTCGCTAAAGACACTGGATGCCGATGGTACTATATTATCGAAAATCAGTTCCCGGTGACTGAAAGTGCAACGGGATTACCTTCTAACCTAAAACTCTTAATTTTGATCCAAGGTGAGGTGATGGGTGCCAAACTTAGAAGAAAGTTGCTGTCCATTACCCCCTGGTTTTTAATGGTTCTTTAACTGATGTCAGTTTGTCAGCTAAGCTGAAATCAATCAAATCCCTGTAGATGAACACTTGGAATTTCTCATTCTTGGAGTTCAGAAGAGACTATGTAATCTGAATAGCAACATTATAAGATACAAATATCCTACGTCTTCGTATCCACGAACATAAGCTAGCCGTCAAAAGACATGATATCCACTCCCTTACATCACTACATACAGACAACCACGGACATCAATTCGACTGGGACAACGTTCAAATATTAGACAGAGGAAACAACAAGAATGCTAGAGAATTTTTAGAAGCTTGGCATTCCAGTGAGAATCATCAATCAATAGACACATCGAGATAGACAAAATTTATCAACCGATAAGAAAGAAACCTCACACACAAAGGGTCATAGTGTGGTGTGAGCTGGCTGCTAGCCAAAGTTGGTAGACAGTAATTGACGTCAATGTTTATGTCCCCAATATTGGTGGTGAGAAAATGAGAACAAAGGCTTTGCGTAGGCGGATACAGTTAGCATATGTATGATCTGACACAGCCACAAAGGGATGCAAGGTTAACTTTCTGTGAGACAACCAATCAAAAATAATAATGTATATGTGTTTAATACATCTGTTGCTGACTCTTGCCTTCTGTCGTTACAATAGTTCAAGTCAAAGAAACAATGAGTTACAATACAAGTAACCTAGAAGGTGTGAAAACACACAAAAACAACCAATCACGTCCAAAGTCACCAGGAGAGATGATTAATAAACTCGTGGAGAAATCTAAAAGCTCACTTCAACAAATTGAAGTATGCGCTGAAGATGTTGCCTAGTAGGGCGATGAAAGCTTCGCAAATTAACTATCCAGCTCAGAGAACACAACCACATCAAAATCATCCACCTGAGCTACAAACCTTCTCTATCATATCTAAATATCCTACTGCATATTCTTGAAATGTAACACCGGTAAGATTTGATACAACCAACTAACTGGAAACTCTGCAAAAAGACACATTTGAAAAATGTATTGTTACTATCAAGCGTAGAGAAGGCTAATCAGCTAGCAGCTTTAGAGTTAGAATCTATAAGTTGTCGGATTCATTCCCAGTGGCTTAGTCGTCAACGGTTTAAATGCATAAAACTACTGATTAATCGAGATGAGTAGGTGTATACCAATCTCACCAACCATTTTACTAACCAAGTCTAAGTGACCTAAACACCTGACGGCCTTTTCGCTTGTTTGAGGCCAAGATCACTATCTCTCTCAGCTCAGAGAGTGAATTTGATTTAAGGTGTTACCAGTTCACCCGAGTAGCTAACCAGAAATCAGATGATTTGAGCTGAGTTAAACTGGGCAAACTGCTGAGAACCTCGATCCCAAACGAGCGAAACAGCCGTCCAGTGCTAAGATCAAGTTCGATCTGGCTAGCTAGCATGCACCGCTGGTTGATGTGAGTGGTATGCACCTACTTATCACAACCAATCAGTGGCATAGAGTTTCAGGCATTTATGCAGGCTTTCTTGATTACCATTTATGGCATCAAGCAGATAACATACTGGGGTCTGAATAATTTCGGGAAATTTCATACCCTGGAACTGCGTAAACCGCTAATTTTTTTGATAACTGCTAACCTGATTTAAGATCATATATCAAATTGATCGTCTTGTGTTTCATCCCCAGTGGAGTCATGACAGCGTACCGCTGAAACGTCTTAAATTAGGATAAAGCAGATGTTCAGTACCGCTTGATTTTCAATGGTTCTGTAGTAGATACCACATGATGAAGAGGTCAGATAACTCATATTCCCAGTAATCGAGGCAAAAATGTTCATTTCCAAAAACATCATTTAACTTAATCATCTGTCAAACATGAATAGTACTGTGTATCTTTCTGTTGACTTGACAGCAATTATAGATTTTTTTGAAAGAGCCATACTCCATAAATTTAAAGAGAAGATATCACACTGATTGAATCTAATCGTTTGACTAGACTGGAATTTTATTTGTTTTAATTAACTACTTAATATTTCTCACTGATAACAATTGTTGATTATTTTTTATTTATTGTTCCCTTGGGTTCCTAGTGGAACACAGGGCTTCAACTACACGTCTCCACTTGCTTCTGTCTTCTGCTGTACTTTTCACCTGCATCCATGTTAGTCCATACTTTTTCAACTCCTCTTCACACGATCTCCTCCATGTCACCCTTGGACGTCCCACTCGCCACTTCCCTTTCGGGTTCCACTCGAGCTATGGCCTGACGCGCGATGTCACCCAGCGGCCTCCTCAGCGAGTGTCCAATCCATCTCCACTTTCTCCTGCATATTTGTTGGGCGATTGGTTCTTGTTTTGTTTGCTTCCCATAGTTTCTTGTTGGTGATTCTTTCGCCGGCCATCTGATCTTCAGTATAGAGCGAAGATATGTTGTTGATAAAGGTCTGCAACAGGCTGTTGGAAATATTCATTGTCACCCACCCCCAAGTTTCTGATCCATCCGTATAGAAGAACTGACTGGCTTGACGTTTGTATTGAAAATCCGAATCACTTTGTTGTTGATGCAGGCTGAGTGACGAAGATTTCCAGATTGGTTTCAGGTTGATGAATGTGTTTCTCGCCTTCCCGATTCTCGATTTCACATCCGCGTCCGTTCCTCGTGTAGTTGAGACAATGCTCCCTAGATAAGTGAATGAAGTAACCTCTTTCAAATCCCTCCCGTTGATGGTGATTGCCGCTGGATGTTGCTGCTGCTGTTGTTGTTGTTGGTTGGTTATTTTCATAACCTCCGTCTTGTCTATGTTCACCTGGAGTCCTGTCTTTGCTGCCAGCCTCTTCGACCAGTTTGTCGGTTTTCGCTTGTAAGTCTTCGATTTTGTGTGACATCAAACATAAATCATCCACGCGCGAAATCCAGGTCTTCTAGGTTCTTCACGTCGGTCCAGGATATCCCTGTCTTCTCGTTTCCCACTGTCTGACGCATAATCCAGTCCACCACAATTAGGAATATCATTGGTGATAATAAGCACCCTTGTCTGACTCTTGTGTTTACTCCAAACGCCTCACTGAGTTTTCCGTTGTGGATCACTTGACATGTGCCGTTGTCGTACAGCTGTTGAATAAGGTTGATGAATATTTGGTGTACGCCGTAGTACTCGAGTAGTTTCCAAATTACTTCGCGGTCAACGCTGTCGAAGGCCTTCTCAAAGTCTATAAAGTTGAGGTAGAGGTTTGATTGCCATTCCATGCTTTGTTCGATGATGATGCGTAGAGTTGCAATTTGGTCAGAACATGATTAGCCTTTCCTGAATCCAGCTTGTTCTGGTTGGAATTCTGCATCCAGTGCGTCCTTGATTCTCTCCAGGATGATGCGACTCAGAATTTTACTTGGCGTCGACAGGAGCATAATTCCTCTCCAGTTGGAGCTAAAAACAGCTATCTGGAAGACATTAGACTTGATGACCCATCATACTTCTACCACGTGGCTGTGTAACGGTACACGACAAGACACTTGCTAACGGAATGTTTATTAGAAATTTGATAAACACATAGGGAAATTACTTACACCTTATATGAAAATCCTTAAATGTGCAGATCTTCCGTCTTGTTCTACTTCTGCCCTTCGAATTGTGTTTTTTATTTTTGTCTTTTTCTTGTGTCTCCCATGTTCTGCCACAATACTGGTTCATTTCCTCTCATTGATATCCAGTCCACCTCTCCTCAATTTGTCATTTTCGTACCAATGAACGTCTCTTTATATACTACTGATAAATCTTGTCAGTAGCACAAGGCCACAACTGAATGGTTCTTGATTAGATCCCTGATGGGTACTGCCAAAGAGTCCCATAACTAGAACGAA